CCTTCTCTGGCTGTGCTGATTTAAATCTAGTGGTTCTTTTGTGTTTGTGTCTCAAGTTCAGTGACGCAGGTAGTGACGATTCTCTCCGGCCAATCAGTGATCAGCAGAGTTTACACGTCACGTTTTGGTAATGGTATGGTATGTTTGGAACCCCAACCGAGGTGGTACTAAAAAAAGTACCAGGTACTGTACCCAGTGGAAAACCCCCCAAAAGTGAACCGTACCGAGCCGTACCATGCCGTACCATGCAGTGGAAAGCGCTAATAGTGTGTTCAAGGGAGACGTATAGACTGTAGAGCTCGGCTTTACTCATCCGCTGAGCTGTTGATCTTGCAGGCTGGCGTCCGCGTGCCGAGGAAGGAAGCACTTTTGTTCCGTTGGCTTGCGAGGCAAGTGCCTTGGAGCCGGTGGCTTGAAAAGATGGCGTCTTCGAGCCGGTGGCTTGAGTTGGAGCGGCTAGCTCATGTTCCGAAGGAAAATATATTACTTTGGACATAGTAGCAGACGAGTAATGCTGGAATGGAACTGTGGAACTGAGGTAAGTTGGCTGTATATATATATATATATATATATATATATATATATATATATATATATAGTGTGTTTGTGTTAAGTATTATTTTAGTATTTTCGTATGTATATTTGTATTTATCTTTGATTTATTTTTATTTCGGTTTCAGTTTAGGTCATTTTAGTACTTTAACTTATCTATTTCAGCCAAGACAACAAGATCAGTGTGTGTTAATTGAAGTTTTCTTAGTATTTTAAAGTTTTAGTACTTTTTCATAAAGTGCTTTTATCATTTTTATTAGTTTTTTTTTAAGTTATCTTTAAATTCAGTTTTAGTTTAGGTAATACTTAAGTACTTAAACTTATTTATTTCGGCCAAGATAATAAATTTTTTAAGTTTACATTTTTTCATTTAATATTTATATTTTAGCTTTATTTCTGTTACCAAAAACAATTTTTAATAGATTCAATTTAAATTTTAGTTAACAATAACAACACTGATGCATATACTGTACCACTGAATTTGGAATATTGTTATCTAAAGCATAACATGCAGACATTACTAAGTGTCAAAATAATTTTGGGGCCACTACAGATATAATTGGGGTCATCCCAAACAGTGTTTTGTATCTACAAAATTTCCAACATCATTTATCTCACCATAGTCATGTCCTGACATACTGTGAGTCTGTTATTATAGAACTCATTACTGAAATTTCCATATTATTCTTCTTTGAAATTGGGGCTGTAATTCACTCAGTGTGCATAATATTCAGTACAGCCGTGTGATCCATACATGCAATGCCTGTACGTTTCAAATCTATTTATAGCCATCGTATTTTCACAATCCTTCCACACTATTTAATATGTAAGTCAGAGGTGCAAATGAGCGTTTCTCTCTCTCTGAAGTGTTGAATGTGCTACAGGGCTGATTTCAGATCTGATGGTGTTTCGACTGCATATTGACTCTCTGGAGGCCTGGACCCCATACAAAAAGCAGTCAAACACTAGATAAAATGATTAGCCTTTAGCTGTGACTGAGAATGTGACTATTATTAGCAGATGTTAATGATCTTTGGATATGTAAATATTACTGTGGCGTATTATGGCACAAGTGTATGAATTTTATGAAGAGACTTTTTCCCCCTGTGTCGTGACCACCTGTCCGCTTAGGTAAACAAGGGCAGCTGCAGGACATGTGTATATGTTACCGGTGTAATGCCTGACTGTTGCTTTAGGCTCAGTGTTGAATCAGTGTGACATATTGACCTAGGATTCCTGTAGATACCAGAAACCTCCCTGCGGGACTGGACGTCACAGACAGTTATTGATTTCTCAGGTCTGACTGATTGAGGCTAGTCC